AGTTGTTCCTAGGGAAGTTCACCAGGGGCCTGAGTGTGAACCCTGTGTGTGATGGTTGGCCGAAGAGGATAAGGGCCAAAATCTCCATCATTACCATCACACGGCATGTACACTAGATAGACGTCTGGGAAGCAGCCCTCATGATGGTGTTTGTTGTGTGCATATGCCAAAGTGATGACTCCTTGCAACATCGGACTGTGTTGGAAGGACCCTTGTGATATCGTACAAGAATGGGGCTCGAACTTGTCCTCAAGGAGGGACCTGTAATTCATGGGCTAGGACGTGTCATCTTCATTTATAGGCTGAATTTGGTAGTCTAATCATTAAACCTAGCAAAGGGTAGTCTAATCATTAAACCTAGCAAAGGGTTGTAGGTCATGGGAACTATTGGGTCAATTTGAGAAGATGCAGTTTCTAGAAAGGATGGAGACCTCTGTGTAATTGTTATATTTTTAACTCTTTAGATCCAATTCCTATGAAATATTATTAAATTTGTTTAATTATATTTTAGATAATTAAAATGAATTTTTAGATCTCTTTGGATATTTTATTTCATTAGAAAAGGATTACTAAATATGAACAAATCAATTTTTTGTATTTATTTTTATTAAAGAAAAATAAAATAATTAATAGTTTTATAAAATTCCTTTTATTATTTTAAAATATTGTGGGGGGCCCATTGGGACTTTTGGGCCCATCACATATGAGCCCACTATTGCGAGCATGGGGCACTCATGATCCTCCATAAAGTGGGACACCCCACTTCCTCCTCTTCCCTATTTTGGGGTGGCTTGTGAGCCACCCACTTGTTTTAAATTAAGGGAAAGTCTTACAAGATGGATTTAATTGTTTCCAATGAAGCAAGTGTAGAGATTGATTGAAATTAGATTTGCAAAATCATAGTATCTTTTCTACACAATTATTTGATGGGAATAGAGTTATGGAAACTAAGGGACAATGGTTCCACCTCATTTCTTTTATTCATGATGGCTGATCTAAGAAATGAAGGCGTGAGATCTCTTCACCCCACATGTCTTTATGAGTAAAGGTCTAGATTGAGTCTCATAATGATCGCAAAACCCTATCCACTATTATATAAGTACTCTCTATGAGGGAATCTATTCCCTACACACCTTGTTTGGATTGGCCCCTCTCTCTAAGCCCTAGAGGCAGGTACAGTTCACTCTCTCTCTCTCCCTCTCTATAGTTATAGTTTAATTTTTATAAAAGCTAAAAACCCTGAGGGGCATGCCTAAGCAACAAGGTGATATGCCCCAAGCCCCTATGAGCTTTGCATTATGATTTGATGTTGAGTCAAAGCCCTATCCCATGTCATGCTCTCAAGAGGTTTGGCCTAGGCTTCCCGAGTTATGAGAAGAGGTTAAACGGGATCCATGTGCTTTGCTGGAGGTGACTCAGTGTAGGGTGTACGACGTCCTTGGGTGTAACCTGAGGCAAGGTATGCAATATTGTTCTATTTCATACTTTCTTAAATTCATTGAATGCGTTATGTAATTTTAAGATTTATGGATAGAATGAGATTTTGTTTTGATGGAAAGAAAGTAAGAGTCCTTGGCATTCTTTGTGATTTTGTTAGTTCATATATTGTATTTGGACACTTGTAAGTGATTCGAGTAGTAAAATAAAGAAAAATTTAATTGGCGTATACTTACCTGGGTCACATAGTACTACTTTCACTTCTTTGATATACAATACCGTCTTAGCTGATTTGTTTATTTTACACTTCTTCAAAGGTATCAAAGAAGGGTTGAAGTCATAGGGTACCTCTTCATGGATGCTTACTTCAATCTAGCCGCCACCTTCTTGATTTGGGTCATTCATGTCTCCATCTGCCTTTCTTTATTTCTGCATCATCTCCAATCTATTTTGCATCGTTTCTCTTCTGACTTTGCCGGTTGTCCACAGAGTTTTCGATTTTCAAACTATCATCTTCAATTTTATTGCCTTTCTCCTGGCCTACAAACATGATCCTTGGGCATCTCTCCAACCTCAACAAGGGATGACCCACTTTAAATCCTCCTCGATTGTGTCACATGCCCA